CAATACTAGTCGCCTACCCGCAAGTGTAATCTGGTTCCCGTTAAGAATTGAAAATGTCATAATTCCGTCGCGAAAACGTATAATATATAATTACGTATGATTCCGGGCGAAGCCCGTTATGCATAAATTATCCCACGTTTCCAACTATCGTTGATGTCCCTGGCATACTCTACTAACTAGACAGTGATTCCTTATATTTCCATTTCATTGTGAAATAAAATTGTAAATTTATATTTTAAAAATATAGACTATAAAAAAATAGATTTAAATTACATGAGGCCTCACATGTCAATTTCAATAGTCCCCGCCCACTGACGTCAAACACAAAGAAAGCCGCACGAGAATTACATGCATATTAGGCCTTCTTAGTTCCTGACCTTTCGCTTGGCGAAATTTACATTCCAGTAGAATGATCAAGAAATCAACTCAACTAACTTTCAAAGAGTTATCACAGAGAAAACAAATTGAAATGGAAATATGAATGGAAATAACTATTGTAAATTGATGATATGTCGTCGATATATCTAAATGTCGAGTTCAAAGCCACAGCAAGAGATTTCTTTTTCTTACGTATAAGATTTTGAATAAAGTATGCTTCACATGAATACAGAAATAGCTAACAACGGGACGCAATTGGTATCCGTGGGAATTCCAACAGATTGTTGAAAGACCTGGTCTCCAAAAACCACATAGATATTGTCAATCAGGAACTCAAGCATCAACATGCCTTTCTCTAACATTTCAGTAATTTTTTTGCTAGAATTTGCCCATGTATTACCGTTCAGCAACAAGAAGTGGGGAGGGGCAAGCAGCATCCAACAGAATATTTACATGTTAAAACTAAAAAAAAAATGCGGACCCTACATTTAAAGTCTCAGGGTACTAAAAAGGAGTGGGAAGAAAGAGGACTAATATTGGTTTATTTCAGTCTATAAGTCGAGACAGAATATCTTTTAAGTTAATTATAGTCTTTTTTCTTTGAGTTCATCCCGTGATTGTGGGATTTATTGTATATATTTTACGTTCTGTACTGCACTTCGAAAATGTCGACACCTTTGGGTTTCTGCGCTGGCCTTGAAGCCTGCGGAGTAGATTGTCTGCTTCAAAATAAATTCAAATAATGAATACAAGTAATACGTAAATCATTAATAATTTTGTGCTGATTTTTTTAATGCTGGTTTCATTAGGAAATGTAAGCTTATCGAATCGAAAACGTATTCAGTCTCTTTTGTACGAAAGCCTTTCAGGATCAAACTACGGGAAAAACTGAAGAGGCGTTATAACGCAAAAAAGGCATAATAACGCTTTCTGAAAAGGCGTTGTTATTACGCGGAAAAGGGCGTTTTAACGCAAATGAAGGTTTTATTACGCCTTTCTAAAAGGCGTTTTACCCCTTTTAAAAAAGGTGTTTTTACTACTTTCCAAAAGCCGTTATTACGCTTTTTCAAAAGGCATTAAATACGCATTTTCAAAAGGCGTTATGTCTTTTCAAAAGGCATTATTACGCCATTCCAAAAGGCTTAATACGCCTTTGTCAAAGGCGTTATTACGCCTTTCTGAAAAGGCATTAATACGCCTTTCATAAAGGCGTTATTATGCCTTTCAAAAAGACTTATTACGCCTTTTGTTTTCAATACATCACTAACTTAGCCTACCCCGGGGGCTGTTTTGCTGATCCTCGGGACACGATTTTCACAATAAGGTATAGTACGGAAGCCCATATAGGACCTATCAAAAAATATTTTTGAATTCGATATAACGAATTGTCGAATTTGTAATAACGAATTTGATTTGTGATAACAATTTCTTTGAATTCGTTATAACGAATTGTTATCTGTTATAACAAATTTGTTATAATGAATGAAATTTGTTATAAAGAATTCTAAAACTTGTTATTACGAATAAAATTCGTTAAAACGAGTTCGACAAATCGTTATATCAAATTCATATATATTTTTCTATAGACTCTGATTGTTGAATTTGAATAAACAAATTTAATTCGGTATAACAAATTTCAGAATACATTTAAACGAATTTAATTCGTTATAACAAAGTTTTGAATTCGCTATAATGAATTCAACAAATTTGTTATAACAGATTAAATTCGTTATAACGAATTTAAAGAAATTGTTATAAACAACAAATTAAATTCATTATAGCAAATTCGACAATTCGTAATATTGAATTCAAAAATATTTTTGACAGTTCTTCATTGGGCTTCCCTAGTATAGGGCTCATTTTTCAACAATCCATGAAAAAAGATATTTAATTGCGCTGCATAATATTACGGAAGCCCATTTAGGACCTATCAAAAATATTTTTGAATTCGATATAACGAATTGTCGAATTTGTTATAACGATTTTAATTCGTGATAACAATTTTTTTTGAATTCATTGTAACGAATTTAATTTGCTATAACAAATTAATTGAATTCGATATAACGAAAAAATGTTATAACGAATTATATTCGTTTAAATGAATTCAAAAATTTGTTATGATGAATTAAATTCGTTAAAACAAATTCTAAAATTTCACGAATTTAATTCGTCATAACAAATTAAAGAATTTGTTTTAACGAATTTTAAGCGTTATAACAAGTTTTAGAATTCGTTATAACAAATTTATTTCGTTATAACAATTTTTTTGAATTCGTTATAATAATAATTCAACAAATTTGTTGTAACAGATTAAATTCGTTATAACGAATTCGGAAAATTGTCATAATGAACTAAATTCGTTATAACAAATTCAACAATTCGTTATATCGAATTCAAAAATATTTTTGACAGGTCCTAAATGGGCTTCCGTATAATGTATTTTCAATGTTGAAACCAACTTATTCCTTCTCTGATGCCAGACGGTTTTGGTTGAAAGCTAATTGCTCATTATACCCATTCAAATAGTTTGTCTGCTTTATTCCAAGAGGGGAGAAAAAAGATTTTCAAATTTGAAATGAATTTTAATATATGACCAGCAAAGTCCCAAGCTACACCTGCCTAATCCTGGATTTTCACAAGTAGAGTGTTGACTTCCATAATTTATTACTCATACATACAGTTGTCTGCGAAATGTACAGAGTATAGAAAATATTTTAAATATTGCATGAATAAAGATGACTTTGATAAAATAATTCATATAATTATAAACATAAAATAACGCCTTTCCATTTTTCGCTATAACGCCTTTTCAAACAGGGCAGTACTACGATAGGAAGCACCCCCATTTTTCAGGAGAATAGTCTTGCTGTAGTTTAAATATTTAAAAAAAAATCATTTATTGGCTGTTTGGCCCCTGCACATTTTGTTGATTATGGTCGAACTCTGTCAAATTATTGCATTCAAATTCGATAAAACAAATTAAATTCGTGAATTAAGGAAACCCATTTAGGACACATCAAAAATATTTTTGAATTCGATATAATGAATTGTCGAATTTGTTGTAACGAATTTAATTCGTTATAACATTTTCTCTGAATTCGTTATAATGAAATTTATTCTGTTATAACAAATTTGTTGAATTCGTTATAACGAATTCAAAACTTTGTTATAACGAATTAAATGCGTTATAAACGAATTCTTAAAATTGTTATAACGAATTAGATTCGTTTAAACGAACTCAATTTGTTATAACGAATCAAATTCGTTAAAATGAATTCGACAAATCTTTATATCGAATTTATATATATTTTATCTGTAGGCCCTGAATGTTGAATTTGATTAAACATATAATTTATTCGTTTTAACAAATTTTAGAATTTGTTTAAACGAATTTAATTTGTTATAACAAATTTTAGAATTCGTTTCATCATCATCATTGTCCTTTACACCCTGTGGTGTGTAGGGCAGCAACAAACTTCCTCCACTCTTGTCTATCCTTGGCCAGCCTCGTCAATGATCCCCAGGTCTGGTGCATAGCTTTCATCTCAACTTTCATTCAACTGTCCTTTGCCATGATGTTCTACACCTCCCCTCTTTCTTTTGCCCTCTGGGGTCCAATGCAGTGCTGTTCTTGTTGTTGACTGGGGGTCTTTTCGGAGAACATGTCCAATCCATCTCCATCGGCGTTTGGTAATGATGGTACCCATGTCCTCTTGTTTGCATCTGCTCAGCAGGTCTTCATTTGTAATCTTCTCGGAACAGAAAATCCTGAGTATTCGGCGGAGGCATTTGGTATGGAAGGATCGTAATTTGCTAAGATTTGTCTCTGTTATTCTCCAGCATTCCGATCCATATAGGAGAGTTGATACAACACAGCTCTGGTAAAGCTTCAGCTTGGTGCTGTACTGTGCAGACCTCCAGATGTTATTCATTTCTCTAAATACTCCCCTGGCCTTGTCCTCCTTTGTGCCGCCCTCTGGTTTAATGATGCTACCCAGGTAAATAAAATTATCCGTCTGGCGTAGTTCTTCACCATTGACCTTAACAGCAGGTAATTCCACATTAAGTGACATTGTCTCCGTCTTCTTCGTACTGATGCGTATAGCCCCACCCGTTGTCCGTAGATTTGCAGCCTGTTGGTCTTCTCTTGGATATGCTGGTGTGTGTGAGACATTAGGGCAAGGTCATCCGCAAAGTCCAGATCCTCTAATGTTGAGAACAGGCCCCAGCGGATCCTCCTTGGAGAGTCTTCTGTTGTCTTCCGCATGACCCAATCGATGACCAAGTTGAATAATACTGCAGACACTACGCATCCTTGTCTGACTCCGGTTTTAACATTGAAGAAGGTGTCATTGTGTCCTACTGAGCATCTGAAGTTGTCATAAAAACTCTTGATCAGGTGGACCAGTTTGGATGGAATACCATAATGACGTAGGATGCTCCAAAGGCTATCTCGATGTATGCTGTCAAATGCCTTTTCAAAGTCGACGAAGTTTACATACAGTTGTCTCTGCCACTCTGTGCACAGCTCTATGATGTTGCGGAGTGCAAAGATCTGGTCAGTACATCCTCGATATTTCCTAAATCCTGCTTGATCTTTCCTCAATACAGCATCAACAGCGTCAGACATTCTTTTGATGATTAATTGGCACGGACAATAGAGTGATTCCCCTCCAGTTGTTGCAATCGCTCAGGGTTCCTTTCTTTGGGATCTTGACAATCACCCCTTTGCACCAGTCATCAGGTACTTTCTCTCCATCCCACACAGCTGTGAACAGTGGTTGGAGGATGGTGGCTGCTATTCCAGGGTCTGCTTTAAATAGCTCTGCATCAAGATTGTCACGCCCTGGTGACTTCCCGTTCTTAAGGGTCTTGACTACATCCATTAACCCATCTTTAGTTAGTGGGTCAGTGTCGATGTCCAGATCCTCTGTGGCTTCTGGTATGGCAACTGTTTCGTCAGGTGATGGTCGATTAAGTACTTCGCGGAACTGTTCAGCCTATCTCTCTTCTTGTTCTTTTTCTGTTGTCAGCAGTGTTCCGTGTTTGTCCTTGATAGGTCCTCCTGCGTTTTCTCTAAATTTACCACAAACTCGTTTTGTGATCTTATATACTCTCCCTTGCTCTCCCCTTACTGCCGCTTCCTCTGCCTCAGCTGCAAGTTGGTCCATGGCTTCTCTCTTGTCACGGCGTGCAAGCTTCTTGACTCTCTTGTTGGCCTCAGTGTACAGCTCTTCTTGCCTCTCATGCAGTCGTGAGGACCTTATCTGCAGCATCTTTTTCTTGATTTCCTTTCTCTCCTCTATAGCCATCAGAGTTTCCTGCTGGATCCAGTCTTTGTTGGTGTTTCTCTTGCGAAGGCGTAGCTTCTTTTTGCTGCTTTCAGTGTACAATTGGGCCACTTGCTTCCATGTGTTGTCCACATTGGCCTCCCCACTTTCATCTGCTATGCCTTGCAAGATTTGGAATCTGTTTTTTAAATCGCTGATGAAGGCAGCTTTCATGGTGTTTTCCCTCAGTCTCTGAATGTCGAAACGTGCTTGAGTGTTAGGCCTTACCTCAGTTTTCTTCAGTTTGATCTTAATGAATGCTGTCACCAGGCGGTGGTCGCTGCCTACATCTGCACTCCGCTTGACCCTAACATCTATTAGAGAGCGTCTCCACACGCCATTGATCATCAGGAGGTCAATCTGGTTCTTGTCCCTTCCATTTGGTGAGTTCCAGGTCAGCTTGTGGATATCACGATGTGTGAAGAGGGTTCCTCCTATCACTAGGTTATTCATAGCACAGAACTCCACCAGTCTTTCGCCATTATCGTCCCTGGTCCCAACCACATGCTTTCCCATGACTCTTTCATAGTCGGTGTTGTCCTTTCCGACCTTAGCTTTGAGGTCCCCCATGATGACAAGGTCGTGTCGTGGGGTTTTCTCTGTCTCTGCCTGTAGTTGACTATAGAAGTTGTCCTTGGCTTCATCGCTACTGTCATTGGTTGGTGCGTAGCATTGTATTAATGTGGTGTTGATGCGCTTGCCCTTCAATCTTGCGCTAATTAATCTATTATTTATGGGCTTCCACTCCAACAGGCACCGCTCTACACCTTTCCTGAGTATGATGGCTACTCCTTCATGGTGTAGGTTGTCATCTCTCCCAGAGTAGAGGACAGTTTCTCCGGTGGTTGTTTTCATCTTTCCAGATCCAGTCCATCTGCTCTCACTCACTCCTAGGACATGGAGATTAAACTGTCTCATCTCAGATGTAATTACCTGTGTCAGCTTGCCTATCTCATACATTTTCCTCACATTCCAATGTCCTAGTCTGAGCTTGGTTTTGGTGGTGTTCAGGTCCTCCCTCATTTTGCTGGTAACGTTCTTATGGCTTTGATTGCCAGCATTCATACGAGTCTCATTGAACTCGGAAGGCCTTTCACACGCTGAAGTAAAGGTTATTCTTGTTGCTGTTTCCGTAATTTTCTCCTTCTACAGGACAGGGTTGTTAGCCCTGCGCCCAATCCCCAACCTGGAGGACCAGGGTAATTTGTTTATGGTTTCCTTCCACTAGATCTATGGCTTTACATGGCGAGTCTAGATCTGCCCGTGATTTTTAAGTAAGAGTTTATCTTCTCCTAGGTAGTTGCCTTACCGGGCTAACGCCCCCATCTGGACGACCATTTTCCGTGGCACGGACAGAGTTGTCAGAAGTGTGGTTATTCCAACAACCTTATGGCATTTACTCTGGATTTCTGTAGGGTTTACTCCTTAGCCTTTCCTTCTCCCAAAGGTCTCTACAAGGCAGTAGTTCATCGCAATTTACCCATTAGCTGGGAACTAGGATTGCAGGCACCAAGGCGTATCCACTCACCGGTGGGCCAAGCGTACCGTGCATTTAGGGGCCTAGTCTCCTCCAAGACCTTGTGGTTCTGCTTGGGGCCGTAAGGTACCCAATTCCCATCTGCTACCTCGAGGAGGATCCCATATCTGGGCCATATAGGTCCAACTATGGAGAGGCTATACCTGGCAGATAAGACTTACAAATATAATTTGCTTATTTTTCACAGCAAGCTGCTAGCCAGGGTGGAGCTGAAAGCGAGGGTGACAAGCACAGATACAAACAGACACACACACTGTACGTATCACACAGCCATTTAGCAGACAGAATTCGTTTAAACGAATTCAATTCGTTATAACAAATTTGATGATTCGTTATAACGAATTCAACAAACTTGATATAACAGATTAACTTCGTTATAACGAATTCAAAGAAATTGTTATAACGAATTAAATTCTTTTAAACAAATTCGACAATTCGTTATATCGAATTAAAAAATATTATTTGATAGGTCCTAAATTGGCTTCCGTATTGATTAAAAATTGAATCGTTAAAACGAATTTTATCAGCGAGTCATTATAACAAATTTAGAAATTCGTTTAAAATAATTTAAATTGTTAAAACAAATTTTGGAATTCTTTACAACAAAGTAATAAAACTGTTATAACAGATTTAATCACATAATAACAAATTTAAAAAATGTTATAACAAATTATCGAATGCCTCATAACAAATTCAAAAATATTTTTTATAGGTCCTAAATTGGCGTCCGTAAGAACAGTATAAGATAAGGCTGTATTATAAATGTTTTCCAAATTTTCTTATTCATTGCTTTCTTAACATATTTTTTTTTAATTTAAAAGCAAGTACAGCTCGATATCTTTATTATCAAAATATTCATTTTAAAATTGATTAGGTTTTATTTTCCATATTTTAAAAATTAAGGACATACGCAACGTAGTTTGAACTTTATTGTCTTTTTCCCTGGAGTTGAAGAGTTCCAATACTTAAAGGAACTTGTGCTACATTTTAATGTCTATATATGCTATTGTACACTTCTTCTAAAACAAGTTTGGATAAACAAAACATCTAGAATATATGTTCAGTAATTTTTGTATATTTTTCTTTGAATTATACAAGAATTTTCATCAATTGATATCTTTTCAAAACCCCTGGTAATGCTTGCTGATTTTTTGTCTACGAACATCTGATGGCACTATAATCTTATATTAAGAATGTTTTGAAAAATTTTCAGTAGGTAAGGTACGTTGCGTATGTCCTTAAACATGTACATGTGTAGTTTTGAATGTCAAACAACAATATGGTAAAATTAATATCATTTTCGTTAACATAAGGTTCTCTAATTTTTGATTTTGAGCTTCCGATGACCCTCCCTCCAGGGATCTACCCTCGGCCGGACCCATTGGAAACCTCAGCAGTTTCCAGACCCCTCGTCATCTAATATAGCCCCCCCTTCTCACTTTCCGATACAAAATAATGAATCCGCACCTAAGTAGGAGTCTTTAATCCTTCTTCCTAGACAACACACTCAAGGAAATATTTTCTTCTGCTCTTTTTCTTTTTTCCATACTACCCCCCCCCCTTTCTTTCCAACGCAAGCCTTGGTTCCCAAAAAACAAACGATCCCTTTTCAGAATAATTTCCTCTTAAAAGTACATAGAATAAATATATGAATAATAGCTGTTAAGTACTTCAACCAAGCACATGCAGCTTCATACAAGTTGGCAGATTGTTAATCATATTTACATTAATTATTGTTCCCAAAGATATTTGGTTGTTTACACCTACACAGGTAACACTATTTTTGTAAAACACTTTTTCCACTACAGGTGACACGTTGTTGTGCAATGACATGATATTGACTAGTTAAACACCCCGTTGCGGACCCCATATTTAAACTGTCAAAGTAGCACATGCTGTCCGTGAGTGAAGTTCCTTATGGGGAACCGTAGTATATTTAAGATTCATCTGGGTAAAAACGATGATTGTATCTGTCAGCAATAGCTAAAATGTCAGATTAAGGTAATTGGAAGTTTTGATATAAATTTATTAGTTTCATTTAAATCACATACTCTATTGCATTAATTCCCAATCTATTTTACCATGAATGATTGGCTTATTTTGTCGTTTTGTCGATAGTGGAAATTTCCAGATTTTTTTAAATGAATGTTTACGCATGCGCATGTCGGCTTCTCCGACGACAAGATTCGAAGTCAGCAGTTGTACAGATTGTATCCGAATGTAAGTGAAATTGTGTGAACTGGGACGAGGGAAATAATTCCTTCTTTTATTTTTTCACGAATACAAGTTTGAATGGATCCAAGAATAGCTTGGTATTCACCTGAGCAGTTAGGATTAGCCCATGACATTTGGACGAGGATCATCGAGACCCAGATAGGCGTGGATAATATGTCGCTGAACAATTCAAATCATAATTTGGACCAGAGGCCACCAGATTTTATTTCGCTCAGTGTAAATAACAATCTAGCACAGAAACATGCGCCTACGAATAAGCAGTACAATATTCAGAATCAACAGAACAGCTTTAAAAGAAAACGAGAAAACAAGGCTAGCACATACGGTCTGAATCATTCGTCCTACAAACATTTTTTGCATGAAAATGGTGGATTAACACCATGGATCCGAAAAGGAAAGGACTACCCACCAAATGTTATAGGGTAAGTACGGCTAAATAGACCTGTTGTTTTAAGGGAAATAGTATTCATTCACAATCACGCCCACGCATGACAAGTCATTCACAGTTCTCTCAAAGAATGCTCAAACTTACAAAAATAACCCAAAAATATCGAAGAGTACGTGACTTCTGAAAAATATTAATGCTTTTCTTAAATTATGTGAAAGAATAATGAACAACATTGTATGAAACCAACTGAAAGATTATCATTCAACTTTTTCAAGGTTATATAACATATGTCAAGCCGTTTCTCCATTTTGTCATTTTATACCTTTCAACCGCCTTTCAAAGATTATGTAACTTGGTATTGATTTGTGACCTTTCTAAAGTACTGTTCACGATATTGTCTTGAATGTTTAAAATTTTAGATGGTTTCAGAAAATAAATGTTTACCAGAACACAGTTTTCTTGGTTATCAGGGCTAATGGTTTGAGAGAATATATTGTAATTATATTCATTTTCCAATTGAATTTATTCTAGATTTTTTTTTTAATTTCAGGCTCCATGAAGAGATTAAGGATTTTTATGAATATATGTCACCAACTGCAGAAGAAGCAAACATGAGGAATGAGGTTGTTCAAAGAATTAAAGATGTTGTCAAAGAGCTTTGGCCAGAGGCAAAGGTTTGTGCCTTAAATTCTACAATTGCAGTTTAGTGAAAAAAAAGATAGCACTTTTTCACTCAAGTTTGTAACAATTGTTTATGTTTTTTTAACATCAGTTGTATTCTTTAAGGTGTAATGAAATTTTTCTGTATTTTTAGGTGGAAATATTTGGAAGTTTCAAAACAGGGTTGTACTTACCGACAAGGTATGTTATGAAGCTTTCAGAAGTCCCTTATGTTTTAGAATGTCACTCATATCATTTTTAATTCCAAATTTCTGTTGAATTTTAATTGAAGTAAATTTGCAGAGGAAAAAACTAAGCAAAAAATAACAAATGTTATATTTTGCAGTGATATTGATTTGGTTGTGTATGGAAAATGGGACAGTCTACCTCTGTTCACCCTGGAAAGAGCTTTGAGAGAAAGAGGTTATGCGGATCCAGCCTCTGTGAAAGTGCTAGACAAAGCTTCTGTAAGTACATTTTGTAGTTATAAACTCATTAGAAGGGGCAACAAGGGGGTGGGGGTAGCTGCAAAATTGTAGCTCTCTGGTTGAGAAAATTCAGACAGATAAACCAGAAAGCTACAGATCCAAGCATTGTAAAAACCTTCAAATTATGGTGCTGCTTTTTAAGTTTTTATCACTTGCTTTGAGTATTATTTCTTGTATTTTATGGGTTCCCCAGCTTTAAGCATGGTATCCTTTAATTAACCATATATTTTAATCCTATTCCTGATACTTTATTTATACCTTTCAATGGTTCCAAACAGCCCTATATGGTCTTGGAGTATCAGTTTTAAAATTCGCATTCTGACATCCATGTTGTTTCTAAATTAGCATGTCCAAATTTTATTTATCGAATTTCTTTTTATATACTTATGATGTGTCTTCTTTATAGATGATATTTGAACTTCCAAATTTTTTATTTACATTTTCTCTGCATGTATATATGTTTTTTGACAGTCTTTTTTTTGGCACGACCCCCAAAATCGGAATGCAAATTTTTTGAACTGACATTCCAAAGGCCATAAAGGGCTGTTTGAAAGGTAAATAAATTATTATGAATAGGAGTAAGATATGTGTAGATTCCATTCTTGTAGCGGGGGAACACATAAAATAAAATTAAAAAAAATCCCAAATGAACAACAAAAAGGTGTCGCCATAAATTGTAGGTTTGTACTTTGTTTGGATCTGTAGCACTCTAGTT